TGCCCATCAACCAATTTGTTTTTGAGGGGGGTTGGGGGGGGGGGTTGCTTTATTTTGGGACGGGCATGCGGCTTTCATTGGTGCAATCGGAGATGAAAAAGCGAACATGTTTCGCAGGGACGTGTAGCAGCACCTCGCGCGTGTTTTTGGAGAGCGCGGTGTATTCGAGAAACACTGACGTGTTTTTCACAATAGATATGAGTAAACCTTTGGATCCCGCTTGCATCCCGCGATGCCACAGGCGATTGATTCTGAGCAAACGTCACGCTGCTGGTGGTTTCTTCTGCTCCGCCCGTCCTCCACGTATCCTTGACGCTAAAAATAACACGGAGGAGAGTTAACCGCTAAACGCTGCATCGCCGACCAAGAGAAGGATCGGAATTATCGCTGCTATGATACCGAAATACACTTTGATTCGAATTTGTTTTGGAAAATAATGTGCCGCCCACAAACTTCCACCAGCTCAGCAAGTCTCCACAGGATCAGCTGATTTGATCTATTAATATTTATCTGATTGCATGTGGACTATTTATCGGAACACAAGTGTAGGTTTCTCCCTCCCCCCTACGCTCCTAGTACCCATAACACGTCAACACGGTTTACCTGCTGTTGCTGTTGCTGTTGCTGTTGCTGTTGCTGTTGCTGTTGCTGTTGCTGCTGCTGCTGCTGCTGCTGCTGCTGCTGCTGCTGCTGTTGGGTTAGCGCTCCGTCCGATCTCCCGCCGTTGTTACCACCGCCCCCCTGGGTGGATCCGCTTCTTTGGTTGTCCATTTTTTTTCTCCTGCTCGATTGTAGAAGTAACAACATTTCAGAGAGCGCCCTCATCTAGGAGTGCATAACTTCATGCTCAAACGTAACGCCAAACTTGAGCACTGCTTGTGAACCCCTTTAGACTAAACCACACATTTGGCCGCCATGAGAGGAGATCAGAACCGCAGCCTCTTCATCTCTCTCTGTATTGGACAAGGAGAGACTCAAGAAACAACGAAATTACATCAACGCCATCTGATGCCACAATTGTTCGATCCACTAACAGGTGATGGTATTTTTTTTTTTTTAATTTTTTGCCTTCACTTCAAATCAGCGCTCACAGCACTAGTGCCGATTACTCCAACCCGTGGTCACACCGAAGAGCCCTTCTCTACCCTCCCCTCCTGGGGTGATGGTATGCACACCGTTTTTCAAACTACTGAAACGCCTGGTCTCAGGTCTAGCTTATAGATTGACTACGTGGACATAAGCATCATCCAGCTCTACACAGGGCAAACATCCGCTGCTGCGGGTGTAGGGCGCTGGAACAGCAGTAGTTAGTTACAACCGGCAGGTTGGCACATTCTCCGGGAGAGGACGTCGTGCGAGCGATGTGCGCACACACCCGTGAGTTAATTAACCCACGGGCAGTCATCGCCGATGGCAGTCATCGCCGCTGCTACGATACAACTTCTTCAAACCTCCCCCGACGATAATATATACAACCAACTGATAACTGGCTCCCAACATTCACATTCGCAGCTTCCGGTTTCTGATGAAACAACTCGCCTTATGGAGGAAGTGGAAAAGGGTGGTCCGGCCTCGGGTCTGGGTGCGAGATACCTAGGGTCGTTTGCGGAAGGAGAGGAGCGGAAATAAACTGTGGGCGAAGGGGGAGAGCAGGTACGTCTCTCCGGCCCTAGCCGCCGTTGAGAAGAAAGCCGGTAGGGGTGCGGCTGGTTGCGAACCCCCCCGGCTAAAACTTCGGTGAGTTCGGCAAATTCGGCGTACGCAGTAGGTACGCAGTACCCCAGAACCACCGAGAAAACTTCGGGAACTTCCTGCTTCGGTAGATCGGTGATTCCAAAATCCCAAATACATGTCTGGGTGACGACTGACGACGCTGTAACGCTACAGCAGTAGGATAGCCCGAATACGTAAGAGAAGGACAAGAAGGTGCTCAACAGAAACAGAAAAACGAAAGAAAATACCGTATATGACACAAGATAACACAGCCCCTTGGCCGATTTTCAAAGCTCGATTTCTCAACAGCAGGAAGAGTCACAGCGCCGAAAACGGCGGCGTTGGAACCGTCTCGTCGAGAGCTGTTCGAAAACGTATTGTTTCATTTATGCATCCTCTTCGTCGTGGAGTAATCCAGCTTTGAAAATCGGTCCAGAGGGTGTGTTATCTTGTGTCATATACGGTAATGCTCGGAGAGAGCAATAATATAAAATTGTTACGGTGCTCCGTGCGTGGTAAAAAAAAAAGAAGTAAGTTCGGTTCTTCCCCCGAACCAACACGTTAATTCCACCGCGTTTTCTTGCTGGTAGTTTGTTGGGGACTTGTTGCTCCACCCATAGCCGGGCGTTGGTGCAGGGGACGTGGGGGACAGATGGGGCCGTTGTTCGTGTATCGTCCCACCCGGGAGTTGAAGGGATGCTTGACACTCGCGGCCGTGATATTACCTTTGGCGGGGTCATTCGCTCCTTTGGGCGGCGCGATGCCTGCTCTGCGGCTGAGGAGCCTCGGCCTTGGCAGCAGCGCTAGCGCCTGTCCTCAACCATCAACTACTAGATGCGCCGCTGCTGCTACGCTGTTTTCTGCGGAAGAGGAGGCGGCGCTGGAGCAACAGGGAGCCGGGCATCTACCCTCGTGGGACCTGATGCCTTTTCGTGAGACGTTTGACCAGCTTCAGGGAGAGTTGACGAGGTGGGTATCCGCCCTGGACTGCTGTACCCCGTTGACTGGGTGCGCCCACGCGGGATGGTGTTATAGCTCCATTGACGAGGCGGGTTCCGGTTGGCCGCGTAAGCCAGCGAACTCCTTCAGTGATTCGATGAATACGTGGAGGTCATGTTGGTTTACAATAATATGTCAGAGTCCCCCGTAATGATACCGGTACGGAGGACGCGCGGTGTGTATGCATAGGTACTCTGTGAGCAGGCCGTTGTTTTTCATGTTTGCGCATGTTTCTCGGCCACGGGGGTCACCGACGGATCTGCCAGAGGTACTAGACTATTGCTGTAGTTGTTGCAGTTGCTGTTGAGGTAAGAACGTGGATGAGAAGTGTGGAGAAACTACAGCAGGTTAGTCAGCAGGTTCGTGGTGAAACAAGGCACCAGGTTACCAGTTAATTGTGGGCTGTTCGACGATGACCCTTTGTTCAATACGCCCTTTGAGTGGTACAGGGAGAGAGAGTGAGACAGAGAGAGAGACACAGACAGAGAGAGAGAGAGAGAGAAAGAGAGAGAGAGATACAGAGCAGCAAATCCTTATTAACTCACCGACACCAGAGGATGGACACTCATCACTCAAGACCACAGTCACTGCCCTTGCGTGTGCTAGCGAGTGCACATGCCACTGTTTGTATCGTGCACGTCCACTCTGTCCCCAGACATATGCGAATTTCTGTCTGTCTCTTTTCTGTCTCTTCTGTCTGCCTCTCTCCCTCTCTATCTCTCTACCTCCCGTCTACTTACCCCATGGTGCTACCGCCGTGTGGAAACAAAGCCCGGTTTTTTCTGACGGGGCCTGGGAGAGCTCTCAGGAGTACCTGAGGAGCATCGTCGTTGAGCTGGCCAGCTGCGTCCTCCCGTTCTCTGAGGACCCCTACCTTCCCCTGCAGCACTCCGCGGCCCTCATGCTGGTCGCGCGACTGAGCGAGCGAGCCAGGGGGGCCCGCGCCGGAGAGGAGGGGGCCCCGGCAGACATGTATTCTTCCCTCAAGTACTCCACCAAGAAGAACGGCGTGGCCCGAGCCGCGGCACAGGTGAGTGATTTTCGGGTTGGCTGGGTTGGGTTTGGTTTGGTGTTCATTGTGTGTGCTGTGGCATGCTGCTGCTGCTGCTGCTGCTGCTGCTGCTGCTGCTGCTGCTGCTGCTGCTACTGCCTCTGCTGCTGCTGCTGGCTATGTTGCCGGTGTTGCTGTCTACGGGGGGGTATTTGGCTTTGGCGCTGGAAAAACCTTGGCCCTTGTCGGGAGTTGGGTCGACTCGTTTCATGTTTCGCTGACGTTTCTGGCTAGGCAGAACGACAACATCGCGACGAGTCATATCCAAGCTTGGCCCCGCACCAGGCCCGTGGATGATCCTATTGGTCAATTCTTTACGATCCGGGACGCTGAGAGCAACCAGTTCTTGGAAAGCTGTTGGTCAGCCCTCGCACCTGCCAGGCACATCCCGTCATCAGGTGGCCCAGCCCCCCTTTCACCCCCACGCGTTCTCATTGCGATAGCGCGGTTGGTCGGGGTGGCGACGCGTGATGTAGTAGAGCCCTTCCTGCCTGGCGGGGGTTCCGCAGTCGGGTTGGAAGCACGGCTAAACCACAAGAATGTTTCTACTTGGTGTGGCGTGGTGTACTCAAATCCATCTCTCGCTGGTCCGGATATGCGCGCACCAGGTGGCCCAGGGCTTGGTCCCCAAGTTTGAGTCTAGCTACGAGAAGCTGGTGGTGATCCGGGGAGTGGAGCGGTGCCTGGCGGAGTTCAGCCTGGTGTGGTCTACGGCTCGCCTGCTGGAGACGTGCGCCCCGCCTGAGACGAAGAGAGATTTCTTGTTCCACCTGAGGCCGCTGCTGGAATACGCCCCAGCGAGAGATCGCCACGAGGTTTGCTGTTGGTATTGTTGGTACTGTTCGGGTTCGTGTTGTTGTCTCTTTTGTTGTATTGTTGGCGTTGTTGGTGTTGTCATTCGTGTTGCTTCTGCTGCTGCTGCGGCTGCTTCTGCTACTGAAGAGGAAATCCTACACCCCTGAGATCAGGGGGCGGAGATCTCTATCACTCTTAAGCAACTTTCAAGGGAAAACGCTTTTGCCACGAAACACTCTTGAACAAAAATGCTCCCGCCCCCCCCCGGTGTTTGCCATCGGGGTTGGGTTTTCGTCGCTTGGCAACGGCGTTGTAAAACAAGCCCGCCCCTCGGTGTTTGCCATCGGGATTGGGATTTCGTCGCTTGGCAATGACGTTGTAAAACAAGCCAATTCATTTCGTGAACTCGGCAACCAGGTTACCGTTTTTTGTTTTCCTCTGTTTTTTTTCTTGGCGGTAACCATAATGGTGTTCGAGAAGATTATGTTGTGCGGGGTGGAGAAACCTCACTCCGCGCAAAGGGGGATGATCGCACCACGTTGTGTTAAAATGGTCAAGCATCTTCAAGGCAGTTACACAGTGCTTATAACTGTCGCTGGAAATGAAAGCACCAGAAAATAAATTCAGTCACACGCAGCTGTCATCCGTACGCAAGGAAGTAAGCACAAGATGCCGAACACCCTTAGCAGGATGCAGCGCACCCTTCATGCGACTCGCCGAATACCTCACGGCGCTTCGCGCTTGGTGATGTGAGAGCCTGGTCCGGTGCGAACCCGGCGTGCTCCGTCCCGGCTTTGTAGGGATGCGAGGCCAATGGTCTAACGACTACGGCATGCACGACTATGAGTACACCCCCCCCCCCCTCCGTTCGTCTTCGTTTACGCTCGTGATCGTGCGCCCAGTCTGTGCTGGTTCTGTGCAGGGGGCTCTTCACGCCCGGGCACAACAAGGAGCCTTCGAGGGTCCACGATAACGTACACGGGGTCGCCCTGCGGCAGGAGCACGGCGGTTGCCCATTGGAAGAGGCGTTTTCCGAGGTACGGGGGCGACAACAACGGGTACGCTACGTCGTGTTTTTTCTCCTTCGGGGTGGTGTCGGGTACGCGCGAAAGAGAGATTGCGTTTTCGGAAGTAGTGTGGGATAAGGAGAAGAAGCAGAGAGAGAGAGAGAGAGAGAGAGAGCGAGAGAGGGAGAAAGAGAGACAGGGAGAGGAAGAGTGGGAGAATGTTAGTTTGTTTTGAGATGAAGTGGACACGGTCGTGGCTGGTTGCTCCTCGGGAGGAGGTGTTTGCCTCTGAGGTGTTGCACCACCTCCAAATATCAATATGGTTGTTTTTCTGGAAACATCAAAGCATCACTCCACTGGATGACGAAACAAGTGCATATTTGCCACGATAACTTAAACTGGTAGAACTTCATAGACCACCAGAGTCACATCACGCACGCTAATCATCAGCCAGCTTCCCGTAGACCCTTGGGAGTACATGATGCAGTTGGACTCTAGTCGCATTTTGTTTTCTTCCCAAACGCATCATGTGATGTCCGTGACTTGCCGGTGTGTCGTGCAGGTGCAGAGAGGTGCGGTGGAAACCCCGGGGGGTCTCCGGGCCGCCAGGCAGGCGTTTCCGTTCCTGGAGATGCTCACCCGGTGGGCGTGGCGCTGCAAGCTGAGCGAGGAGGAGGAGGCGTTCGCCGGAAAGAGGAAGAAGTCCGTCACCAAGAGCTTCGGCAAGAAGTCCAAGAAGAAGATGAGGGAAGCCGAAGCAGCGGCGGCGGCGGCGGCGGGGAGGGGAGAAGAAGAGGCGAGTTAAGGGTAGTGCAAGGGGGGGGATTTTTTCTGTGATGCGTGACGATGGTGTTTTTCACACGAAACGACGCGGACTCTCGATATTTTGAATACGACCAGCGGTAAAGAAACGAGCATTACCGCCGGTGCAGGGGGAAATAGGACCAAATACGGTGGCGCTGCTGCCCTTGGGGAACACGCTCGGTATTAACACTCCGCTCTAGTAACACACACCTAAATGGGGGATATTCTACACCTTCTAGGACATTCTAGTGACATATCCCCCCACCCTCCCTCCCTCCCTCCCTCCCTCCTTCCCTTCCCCTCCCGAAAGGTTATGGCCGGGGGAAAAGAAAGCGGTGGGGAGGTCGCCGCCACCACCGCCGCCACCGCCTCCGGAGGGAGGAGTCGGGAGGATACCGGCGTGGCTTCGTTGTTGGTAGAGCTGGCGAAGGCTGACCCTTCCGGAGCCACTATTCGCTCGATGCAGCGATGGGCGTGCGAGGCGATCTTGCCCGAGCAGGTGCACGTACACGTGGCGAGATTGAGACAGTTACGCCATGAAGGGGAACGAGCTTTGCACGTTGCGCGGCCTCTCTTCGCGTTGCTATTTGGCGGAGGTTCTGGATGACGGTTTTGGTCGAATGTCGCGTGGGTATCGTCGCTTCTGGCAAGAACGGCAGGTTTCGATGTGCTAGTGGTGTACAAGCTAGTCCCTTGTCGGCAAGTGCTTCATGCACGCTGGATATTTTCGGCCTCGTACCGTCGTAAGGGAGCATGCACACCTGTAACCCTCCCCCTCCCCCTCTCGTTTCGCGATGCCTACAGCAAACGCCGGATCTCTCAGTGATCAATTCGAACCGAACTGGTTGGTGGTTTTTTTCGGTCACATGTGCGTTCCACATGTTGTACAGGTTGAATATGCCCCCGACGCCGAGCTTAAACGCCGTCTAGGCAACGGCAGCGAGAACACCCACCACTTTTCTTCGATCGCAAGGGTTTCGTCTCGCTGCGTCTTGACATGTTTTTTTGCCTAATCTAACTCCTCGGTGCGTGTCTGCGACGGCGGCTCCTTTGACTCATGCCACTCCCGTGGTCTTTGCGTGTGCTTGTTTTCTCCCCCCAGATGGGAGAAGCGCCTTCTGAAGCGCCGACGGACCGGAATGAGGTAAGGGGCGCTTTCTCTATGTTTCTCTACGGCCAAGACCGTTTGGTTTTGCGTTCTTCTTTCTTTTAAAGAGTGTGTTGTGTTTCCACAGCGGCGCCTCTGTTGCCCATGGGTGTCAGTCACTGTTCTCAGACAAGGTGAAGACGGCATTCATTACATCACATGAAAAAAAAAAAAATGAAAGTCGGGAAGAATAGTCTACTCAATTGAAGTTCGAACGTGGCGCCTTTGTTTCTGAGTACGATCGCACACTACGCACGCAATCCGCATTTGAAGTCGAAGGAAAAGAAATAGAGGTCGAGCGTGGTACCTTTGTTAGGCAGTACCCTTGTGCGTGGCGCACAGCAGTGTCGTGTCCCTGAGAGAGTTACCTCCGGTCTCTGCGGGGTGAAGACCGCCCAACACTCGACGCCCCTCTTGGAGGGGGCGGTTGGCGGGAGCGTGATGGGTGACGAAAAAACGACACCAAAACCTGAAACTACTACTCCGCCCCTCGTCCGTTGAGCGAGTGCTGTTCTTGCGGTGGTACCTTCCTCAAGGCGACCCTAAAAGACATATGCATACTTTCAGAAGTGTTTTTTCCTTTGCCTCTCGCCTCCCCCCCCCCCCCCCTTCCCTCTGTTTTCTCTGAAAAAGGCATCTATCGTTTGATGACTGTGCATTGTGTTTTTGGGCAAGCCCCCCCGCGCCCCTAGTGCTCTCTCAAGAAGGCATCTATCGTTGCGTTACTGCTGTGCATTTGTTTTGTTTTTTTGGCAACAGGTGGCGCGAGGCATCATCTGCACGCACGAAATCTTCGTCTCCGGGCAGAAGGTCCAACGGCAGCGCTGGGCCCAAGGCCTGCAGGGAGGTGGGTCAGGTGATCCGGCTCCTCGTCGGGGCGATGGACGAGGAGAACCTGCGAGGGGATGACGTCACGAGGTGAGACCCGAAAGGGGGATGACGTAACTGGGTGGGTCGAGGCGGTGCTTCTTGTTCTTGGGCACCCGGGCGTCGCTGTTGTTGTTGTTGTTGTTGATTGTGAGATCGGAATGTTGAGGGTGTATTGTTGCCGTTTCAACCTCTTTTCACAGATGACACCTCCAGCATTGTGTCGCGCCTGTTCCTCCGTACTCTCGGCAAGAAGGGCTTGTACTTTGAAAGGCCTTCCCGGATCCTTTCCCGCCGGTACCGGTAGCAGTCGTTGAGTCTTCAACGCTGGTTGAGGAGTTTCTCTCACCGAAATACCGCAGAACAATCGTACCAAATCTTAATTGTGGAGATCTCCATCATACAGGGTAATATCCAACCTCCCCAATGTCTTTCTGTCGAGGACGATGATGCCCTCTTTTCACATTTTTCCACTTGACAAGTGTCCTACAGTTTTTGAGGGTGTCGCGAATTCGTGCGACACTGCCAAGGGCAAGAGAATCCGTCTAGGAGAAGTGCTGTGCTACATTTTGACACGCATAACATTGTTCATTTAAGGTACACTCGGTACAGCCCCAAGCCGCTGACAACCACGCTCATTGTCCGAGGTTTCGCTCAAAGGAATCAGTGGGCAATGTCGTCGGCATCAAGCCCCCATCCGTCTTTTTTGCCGATCGGCCTTGGAGAAAAGATGCGCCTAGTCCTGTCGTCGATCACGGCGTTTCCTGATCTCAAGAGCAATGCCCGACGGCAACAGAACCGACACGTTAATTGTTGTTCATTCTTGGCGAGCCGTTTCTCTTCTCCAATGCCCCCCCCCCGTCCCTCCCCGTTTAGAGGTCAATGGTCTAAAGACTACGGCACATTGCTAAGAGTACACCACACACCCCCTCCTCATTTTCGACTCGACCAGCACGGTGAACCACGCCTTGTTCCACGGCTATGAGTACACACATCCCTCGCCCCCTCCCCATTTTCGACTCGACCAGCATGGTGAACCACGCCTTGTTCGTCACAGCGTTTCTGAGATCGATGCCCCTGGGGGTGAAAGCCAGGAAGGGGTACGAGCTTCTCGTTGCCGGGGGGCGCACCCCCGGCGCCGTGAAGGGGCTAGAATTGAAGCAGGTCTCGACTCGCGTGGCCAGCTGGCGAGAGGCTGCGCTTATCCTAGACTCGGGGCTGGCGAGCGTGCTCCAGGTCCCCCAGGCAAGGCTTCATCCCCGCCGGACACAATCAGGGGGCTGCTCCGCAGGGGGCTGGGGGGCTCGTACTCATTGTTTTGCATGCCTTGGCGGATAGGCCGTTTTGAACGCGCGCCGTGGAGAGGATGGGGCATTGTTCCCGCAGGACCGATCGCCGATGGCCAATCGTTCCTTCCTACGTTTGCCAAAGGTGGCTCAAAAATGTCTGCCCTAGTCTATCTATCCTCTCGATATCACGTTCCGCCTTTTTCAGTCCACTTGGCTATGGTGGGGGTGGGGGAGGGGGGTTACTTCAGGCCCCCAGAGGAAGAATTAAGATTAAAAAAAGGGGGGAGATGGGGAGGATGGCGGGGGTGGGAGGGGAGGAGATACTCCAGATGACCGCCAACAAGCCGGCCCTGGGGAGTCTATCGTTCTTGCCGTGGGGAGGTTGCACGTTTTTGTTTTTTTTGTTTCAAGAAGGTTTTCGTTGTGGTTCAGGAGGCCGATCGCCCGATCAGAGAGACGGGGGTTCGTTCGGAGTGTCCCCGTGTTTCTTGTCTCTCCGCTGCTCCTGCTGCTGTCATGATGCAATATTCATGATGCAATATTCTGTCATGGGCGAAGAAACATCGACCTGCGTCACTGTGATTTGTGCAACCTTTCCTTTCCCCGTTCTTTTGTGTTTTCTGTCTCTCTTGAAAGTATGTTGTTTTTGCGTAGTTTCAGAGGGGAACATGCGCTGATGAGAGTGACACACGTGCCCTGACAAGCCTTGCCTGCTTCCCGTGCTTGCGCCATCGTTATCACACCGTGTGCGGGTGATCCACCTTCTCCCTAAACTCGAAAAAGAAAGTTATCACACGTGTGTCGCACGATGATGGCGTAGGAAAAATCAATCCACTTCACCCGAGTCAACCGCGCGGATGCCGTTCACTACCCTGGTGCTTCTTGTGTTGGTGCGTTTCGTGTTGCTTTGAGCAGAGCGATGCTAAGAGCGACGCTTTCGGACAAGCCCTGTCCACCTTGCTGACGACGTGGCAGTCTCCCTATGCCCTAGCCGACTACTACGTCATGCACAGGAAGGACCCTGAGGTGGGTTGTTGTTGTTATTGTTGGTGGTGGTGGTGTTGGTGTTGCCTCTCTATTGATCAACACCAGGTATTGAAGGTCTGCGTTGCGGTTTTGGATGTTGTCGTTGTTGTTGCTGCTGTTGTTGCTATCTCTACGTCGATCGAAACCAGGCTTCGATGGTCTATTCGTTGTCTGTGCGGTTGTTATTTTCTCTCTGTCGATCAAAACCAGGTATTGAAGGTCTACGTCCGGTTCTTGCTGGCGCTCCTCGGCCTGTCGGGCGAAACCGTGCGCGACATCCGCATCAGAGACCCGTCCAACTTCGAGCACATGAAGCATTTCCCGGAGGACGTGCGACGTCAGTGGCACGTGAGAGGGGTACACTGCCATCACCACGCCAAGAATAACTAGGCAACGTTCTCTGGGGGGGGGGGGGGGGGGGGGGGGA